TGTTTCCAGGGAAGGCAGAAGACTTCTAGAAGACATTGGTAGCAGCTTCGCCGCAGTGTAAAAGGGTGTCCCTCGTATTTCAGCCAGCTTTTACTGTGACCCTAGGCTATACTGTCAAATACATCTAATGAAGTGCAGGCCTTTTGGGAGACAGCTGGGACTTCTTGGCATTGCCTCTCCTGAGGAAGCCAAACAGTTATCCCGTAATTCTGGCATCTGTGGCGCTTTTCGCGAAATGGCTGTGGTCTCCGTGGTCCCCAGCGCTCTCACCACAGCACGGTGCTCAAGAAAACTGTGTTTTTATTTCTTGACATATAATCACGTGTGTTTGTTTACTCTCAAGGACTAAATAAACAAGCCTTGTGAGTCTCGTACTTGATGAGGCTGACGTTGCAATCGCTACAAATAAAGGACGTGTTTGCATCATATACGAGCCCATCAGCCTGCTCGCCGTTTGACACACCAGCGCAGGGTTTCTGTCCACTGAAACCCAAAGACTCTGACGTGCAAACGCAACTGTTCAGATGTACCAAGGTCAGCTGGCCAAATTCCATGACTCCTTGCCGTGCCACTGGACCTGAAGCTCTGCCGTGCTATTTAAGCTCTACAAATCACTCCCTGAGCCATGGATTGGCTTGCAGAAGCAGGTATCTGAAACACAATTAGAGGAAACAGGTCCTGTGTGCCTCCTAAGTCAAAAGTAGCACACCTTCCTACCACTAAGGCTGTTTAGATTAGTTGCTTTGCTGCACTTACGGGAGGGAGGGAACAGTAATCGCCCTTCATTTTACTTTGCTCTAGACCTCTCTGACTAGGCAATGAAATTTAGGAAGATTTAAGGCTGTCCCTTAGGATTTGTTATTTGCAGTGGCTTAGCGTCCACATTTCCTCTCAGTTTTCCAGATGGCATCTCACACTAGTCTGACTTCCATACAGAAAATATGGCTAGTGTGAAGTGAAAAAAAAAAAGTTAAATGCATTCAAAATTCTGAGTAAGTTTTTAGCAGATGTTCTTGGGGCTGCAGCTGGTAAGAATCAGGCCATACGTTTTACTTTATCCTTTTTTTTCCCCCCCCGTGTCTAGAGAGCAGCTGGTTTTATACTTCAGTGCCAACAACACTATAGAGTTTGGTGTAAATCTATTGTTCTACTATAAATCTGATGTACTCAAGGACTGTTTTCACTTGAATGCTTTTATCTCAGCTACTCAGCAGGCTCTTCAAGGTCTCCTAACACATCCAGGAAAACTGATGAAAGGAAGCTTGGCATAAATGGAAGACTGATAAAATATTCATTGCAACATTTAAGTTCATTTTATTTAGAGACATGTAGCTGCAAACTCGTCACTCTGCAGCAAGTGGTGTATTTAAAGACTCACTCACCAAACAAGCAAACAAGCAAACAACCCCAACAAACAAAAGGTGTGGGTTGTTTTTTTTTTTTTTTGCCTGACTCCCTCTTCCTCTTTCTGCACTGCCTGTGGAGACAGACAGACACAAACTTCCAGTTCCCCCCCCCCCCAGGTCTGAATGTTGTCAGTCAAGACAGTAATTCATGAAAGGATTTAAGAAAAGCATTAGGTACCTATTTACATGTCACCTGCCCGTTAGGTGTAAACAAGCGTTACTGCTTTGCTTCCACTGCAAGAGGGATACAGGATGAGTGATCTAACCACAGTAACTTCATGTTGTACTGAGACACGGGCCAGCAGAGACAAATGTTCAAAGACTGGCACCATGTAGGCTGGGACAGCTCCCTTTCATCTCCGACACTTGCAGTCGTCTTCTCTAATGACCCACACATGTGCAGTTAAATGTGCACCTGCTCTGAAAAGAGTGGTGTGGCATACAAGTGCACTCAAAGGTAAAGCTTGTAAGCACTGTATGTATGTGCATGCATATATCTATGGGGGGGGGAGAGACTATATACACACTGTAAATATGCATACAATGCTTGTATGTATGTATATAAAAATATATTTGTTATTTTCAAAGAACGAAAAGTATTCATTATTAATTGGGAGCAAACATTTTTCAAAATTGCTACTGAATAAAAAAGCTGGAAACAGTGGGGTTTAGAAAATGTGAATTTTGAAATTTATTTTCCATTTTCTAAGGTGTATTTTTCAAATTTTTGTAGTATCATTTCACCTCTTGGCAGTAGTAGTAGAAGTACGCCTATTAAGATGCATCTCTACCTCCCCCCCCCCATGGTTCAGAAATGTAACAATGTAATAACTGATATGGTCAATGATTTAATATTTAGAATGCTAAAGAGAGGCATGACTTAGAATTTAAGGAAAAACAGGCTACTAATATTACACATTGTATGCATCCAACTGCATGCGTTGTCCACACCTGGCTCAAGTAGTGAAAAAAACTTAAATCACATGTAACGTGTAATCTGCAAGAAGCTGTCTGTAGCTAGTTTCATATGGCAATAAGGCATATCCATTTGTGATGCGTCTTTGTTCATTTGTCAACGCCTCCTCCCCCCCCCCCCAGAAACTTTTTAACTTTTTAGTTAATCGCAGGTTTTCAAATGTCACAGAGGGGTAGTAATACCCCTGTAACTTTTTAGCGCTCTCTACCAGATCACCAAAAATCAGAGGAAAAGGGAGTCCCACATCAGTGATCCCAGCAGGGAAAAAGTTAGGGACAGCGCAATTCTGGCCAGTTCCCAGGGCTGGAGGGGGCCAG